TGAGGAAGGATTGTGGAACGGGTCTTCATGTTTTTAGGCCAATCTCAATGGATACTCTATTTAGGTTTCATTTGCATTTAATACTATGACACATCAGCATATTTAATAACTTGGTTAATTATATATGAAGAGAAATAGAGGATTGAACTCGTTATCTCAATTACCAATACAAAAACTGACGATGGTGTTGGTAACAATGTCATAACACTCACCGCTCAGATTAGCATGAGGGCACCCACAATGGGTGACTTAAGCAAGCTATCTCTAAGTTTTTTTTTCATATTTTAATAAAAAAGAGAGAAAAGTTAGCTCTTAATTAAGAGCTAGTTTAATACAAACGTTCCAAGATCATGTGATCAAGTAGATATTGACTATAGTTTATAAATATTTTATAGTAAAAAGTACGGGTCAAAGTTGTTTTTTAAGACCCTGTCAATATCCAAAACGACTTCCTTCAGAGACATGGAGGGAGTATATCCTAAAAGTTAGCATTATTGAAGAAGTTAGATTAGAAATATTAACTACTAGCTTATACCATTGCAGGAGCCTTAAGAGGCCTAAATTTATTTCTAGCTTGTCCTTTTAGACATGACGACTCCTCGTAAAATAACATTAAAAGTATGGTGTGTAGTGTGCTAGAAATATTTTTCAGCGGTCCTCCGAAATATACAATGCTCACGCTTTAATGACGCAGAGCCTCTTTATTGTGCCCAAAATTACCGACTGCGAAGACAGCAACGTTGATGTTACCTCATTAAGGGCCAGTTTTTTTTTTTAAAAAAAAGAAAACTTGATTAAATATCAGTTCCTAATAAATACTCCCTCCGTACTGGTAACTCAAGTTGCTTAGGATAACATTTAGCTTACCAAGGAGTACTCTTATACACGATATTAGTATTACCATACCGCTCATAACCACAAACTACATGATACAGTGTAGAACGATAGGGGAAGGGTGGATCAAAAAGTAACTGAATATTTTGTAGGCTTTCCTTGAAATAATATATTCTTCTTTATTAGGGGGCCTAAACTTTACGTGCAGAGCCAAAATTGAATTCTATCTAAATCAGCTATTTTTATTTTTAAAATTTAATATAATCATATCAATTTTAAACAAGCCACCGAACCTGCTCAAACGAACTTTTTATCCGTAACTACAAGGTCCACCAACTTCATGAAGGCGAGGATCCGAAAAGAAAGGCCAAGAAGGCAAGAACCAAGATGTTTTGATTTTTGACTCTATTTTAAATTATTAGATGTTTTATTTTTCTAAATACGTTGATTTTATTATATATCTAGATATAGTGCACATCAAGTACATAACAAAAACTTTAGAAAAACAAAATGTGTTTATAATTTCAAATTGATAGTACTCCCTCCACTCTAAATTATAAGTCATTCTAATTTTCTTAATATTTTTTATAGACAAAGTAGCACTTCAGATCCTGGGTTCAACTCCCTGTGGGAGTAAATATTTCAGGATTTAACGGCGTTGTGCTTTCAGTGTATGCGATGTTCTTGTCAACGGCGAGGCGTACATGGTGACTTCGTCAATCTCGAGGATTTGCCAGCCTAGTCTTAGAAAATGTTCACTGGGGTATGATTTGCGTGTGTGCGTTCATAGGAAAGAGTGTATGCGCGTTATGAGTGTTTGTGTTGTACTGTGTAATAAAAAAATGCATCTTAAGTTTGGTTAAAATTATAGGTAGAATTACAATGATTTATGATATCAAATAGGTACATTATGAAAATATAATTAATAAGAAATCTAATGATACTCATTATCATCAATGTTATTTTTTATATAAATTTATCAAAACTGAGATTTTTTTACTTTAAAAAAACTTACAATTTAGAATGAAGGAGTACTTTTTTTTTTTACAAACTGACCAGAAGATAGAGTGCACAGGCGGCCAGGATGGCTCGATACCGGCCAAGCCGCGAATCAGTGACGACCGCGCCGACGAGCGGCAGCACCTGCACGGTTCCGGACCACGCGTTCACGCCGGCGGCCGCGGCAGCGGTGGACATGCCGAGCGGCCCGGTGAGGTACATGATCAAGTTGGCCGACACGCCGACGAACCCAATACGCTCAAAGAATCCCATCGCTGCATGGTAGTAGCAACAGCAACAGCGACAGTGAAGCATGCAAACTGCGGACGAACTAGGCAACTTGAAGACTTGCAATCTGCATGATTACCGATGATGAAGAGGGCGGCACGCCAACCGCCACGGCCACCACCGGGTTCGGAGGTGACTGGCAACCCAGGTCCGGGCATAATCTCGCCGCCGCCGGACTCCATTGGTATCCCAGCCATCCGGAGAACAGGTGCACGTCGAACCTTTTGCGGCTGTCTCGTGACTAATGGCCGCAGCACCGTTTGGAGTACTTATTCCGACGCCCTATTAGCTATTAATTGCTGCCGTCAGTGAGTGTTTCTCGAGGAACAGAGGATGACGGGGACTAGCTCAGCTATGCAAACCAAGTTCGCTCAAGGGAAACTTGTTATTTTAAGTCAGGACGCATAAACGCACTCGTGTCATACGCACGCCCACATATCCACGCCCAACCAGCTGTGCTTTGATCCTGGCATCTTGAAGTCTTTTGTAGGAGTATACCAAACAATCAAACACGTGGTCTTTTTATAGGAGTACCAGACAGTCAAACATGCTACGACCGGCCGAATGGCACACCAGCCGCTAAACTTCATTCTCACTCTCCGTCAAACATACTCAACTCTATAACTAAATATATAAAAAAATTTATTTATATTTATAATATACAATAAGGAACATTAGATAAATCGTTGAACTTATTTTTGTAGTAAACTTCTTTGGAGATACAAATGTTAACAATAATTTATATGAACATAGTCAAACTTATAAAAGTTTGACCAGCATGAATGCCATATCGGTGATGCTTTGTTTAGGGCGTTCGGACGCCCCGTTCACATCCGGACGCATCGAACCAGCGATGCCGCATCTAGAAACCAATGCTCGGTCTTCTTCCTGGCGCCCCCTCACATCCAGAAGTCGACGCTCGGTCACGCGACTCTTCTCCCGTCACTCTCTCCCTTGGCAGTCGGCAATAAGGGAACTCCCTCTACCGACGCCCCTGCTCCTCTCCACCGCGATGCCCCTCCTATCCTCTCCTCTCCTCTCCTCTCCTCTCCTCTCCCTAGCGCGCTCGGAGTGGCAGGACGCAGCCGCCCTAGCCGGTAGCCTGGTACTGCTGGCCACACACTGCTGCTGCCAGCCCTCGCCCGCGCAGATTCGCCCCACCTACTGTAGTGGATTGACGACGCCAAAGCATAGGGACACGCCACTGTCTTCGTCGCTAAGTTCTTCGGCAGCGCCGGCCTCATATCCTTCCTCACCGCGCACTGTCCCCGAGCTACAGCGCCAAGGTAGGCATGCCGCGGCTGACTCCACCGCGGTAGGGCACCTCCACCGTAGCGGGTGCCGCCATCTAACGTCGTGGCTGCCTCCACCGCGACAGTTCATCGCGCCGCCCTTTGTACTGAAAACGCGTGTTGCAAATGTATGTTTTAGATGTTTCAGAGGTGTGTTGCAAGTGTTTCATATGGATGTTCCAAAAGTAGATCGGGATGTTGCATATGTTGCAATGGTTTATACACGTATGTTGCAACCATCTGTTCCCAATGTTTCATCAATTTTTTTAGACGTATGTTCCAAGTGTGTTTATCTAGATATTACATATATTTCACACATAAATTGCAGGTGTTTTATCTGCATGTTGCGTATGTGTTTGCAATGGTTTTCAAATGTTCTCCACGTGTTTTTGCAAGTGTTTCATATGTCTTCTTTTATATGTTGCAAGTATTGTATCTGTATGTTCAAAAGTAGATTAGGTGTTGTACAGGGGATTCACGTGGGAAGCGGGTGGGGGCGCGAGCGATCCCCACGCGCGCACGCGGCGCGGGCCCGTGTGGCCGCGAAAGCAGGCGCTGGTAGGCGCCTCCGAGTGGCATGGGCTCTCGCGTGGACGTGCAAAACAGAGGCGCAACAGACTTTAGCCGCGGACGTCCGGGCGCTAGCAGTGTCGATAGTTCGATACCATAGCAACACTTAAGAGCAAGTATAATAATGGGCTTATAGCCAAGATAATGCTGATGTGGAGGAGAGAAGAGAAGAGAGAGATGAGAGCTTGGCTCTCAGAGCAAGTCCAATAATAAAGCCAAGTGTTTGTCTATTAACCAAGTTGTAAGAGTCAAGTTATGCAATAATGGTATGTTATTTGCCTCTAAGAAACTTTTTTTATTGTTATTACTACCCATGCTCCATCTTCTCTTTCGTAATCCTTCTCGCATTCATTTAATGTATAGGCCCATCAATGTTTATGCTTCCATGCCCAGCTTGTTATTTGTATGTGAACCAAGCTCTCCTCTCTTCTCTCCTCCACATCGGTATTTGTTTGGCTATAAGCCATTATTATACTTGCTCTCATGCGAGCAACAAGCTGGGCACGAAAGCATATGGATTAGTGGGCCCAACTAGCGAGTTTTGTGAGGAGGATTAGAAAAGAGAATTTTTTTTAAAGATAAACAGAAGACACTTATTGTATAACTTGTCTTTTATAACTTGATTTTTAGCCAAGCAATTGGCTCTATTATTGACCTTGCACTAAAAAGATAGAACAAGGAACCATCACCAACTTAGCTGAAATCTCCTGAGTCCTGTCCCAAGCCATCATTTTGTCGTTATGTCCTTGATTCTGACTATATATTGTAATAAAATTATGTTTTTAACTGAAAAGAACCTTGTTGATACTTATCTTTTGTTTACTGAAAAGAATACTAATTTGCAATGTGAGCCTGTTGTTCCTCTGCACTCTGTTTAGTGAACTTTTCTCCTGAAACTTTGTATAGCGAATAGAATCCATGTTGTATCATCTTGCTATTAATTCTTATGAAACACGCTAGAAAAAAAAAAGATAAATCAAATTAATTATTTTAACATACGCAATGTATTTCACAGATTCATAGCTCGGCTTTGTTTGTGTAGACGTATTGATTTGCGAAATGCAAGAACGCGGCTACCTCCAGAGCCGCGAGCCCTGCGAGGAGCCCGTAGAAGTAGTCGAGGTGCGCTCGGTTGAGATTGTCGGAGAACCAGCTCTCACCCTTGCTTCTCGTGGCCCAGTCGACCACGGACACAAGCATGCCGCTGGCGTAGCTTCCCACACCAAAGATGCTCAGGCACAGCGCGAGCCCGACGCTGCGGAGAGTGTCGGGCACCTGGTCGTAGAAGAACTCCTCGAGACCAACCTTACCCAGCACTTCGGCGAGGCCCATGAGAACGTACTGCGGAATCATCCACCACAGGCTCATCGGCACAGCCACGTCCGGCCGGTCGACCAGGCCCGCGTCTCTGGCCACGCGGAGCCGCCTGACTTCCACGAGCGCCGCGACGACCATGGCGACGCAGGACGTGGCCATGCTGGCGCCGATGCGCTGGAGCATCGTGATGCCCGCGGCGTGCCCGGTCAGGCGCCTCGCGAGGGGCACAATGACGCGGTCATATAACGGGAGCATGACGATGAAGGTGACATTGATCAAGCACTGGAGCGCAGCGGGCGGCACGACGAGGCCCGTCGTCGTGCCAAGGTGTCTGTCCAATGTGCTGGCTTGCTTGGTGAACAGAGTTGACACTTGCGAGTAGATGGCCGTGAAGACTAAGCTCGTCAACCATATCGGGAGCAGCTTAGCTATGAGTCCGCCCTGCTCAGGTTGTGGAGGTAGAAGCAGCCTGCACAAGTCAAGAAGCTCCGTCAGGACAAGACGCCTCTGTCTGTGATGTTGAGTTACACGTACCTGCAATACAACGGAAACGTGTTTGCTCGTGTTCACCTTTCATCAGTTGGAGTTATGGTGTCCTTTCGACGGAAGACCCTCGCGCCCAACGCCTGCACGGTCTCAGCGAACGTGCCGCCATCAACGGGTCGTTGCTTGGCACGGTACGTCCGCGTGCCAAGTAAGAAGACGGCAAGGCATATTGCCAACGCGGTCCAGCACGCGCCGAAACCCACGGTCCAGCCGGCGTTGTCCTGGACGTAGCTCAGCCCGGCCGTCGCGATGGCGTAGCCCCAGGACATGGAGAAGTGGAACCAGTTGAAGTACGAGCTCCGGAGCGCGGGGGCGCTGGGTTCGCCGCTGTCGCTAGGCGTGAACTGGTCCGCGCCAAAGGCTTCCCCGCATGGCCCGTAGAAGCCTTGCGCCAGAGCCAGCAGGTACAGCGCGACGTAGAAGGCGGTGAGCCGTGCAGGAGACGCGGACGGCGGCGAGCTCGCGGTTGGCATCATGGATGAGGCCGTTAGCATTCCCAAGCTCTGTACGTAATCATTGAAGTATGGTAGAAGAGGGTCAATTGTCAAACATAATGGCTGATTTCAGGATTACAACTACGGAAACGCTCTAACCTAAGCGTTCGACGTCCGGACGCTCCACTCACTCTCTGTGCCCCCCGTGCCGCGCCCACCCGCCCTCTGCGCCACCAACGTCCGTGCCGCCCCCACCTATAGCCCTATGTGCCCGCCCTCCTGCTCCGCGTTGCTCGTGAGCTCCGCGCCGCCGACGAGCACACCGGTGACCTCCACGCGCCACCCACCCGCCCTCTGCGCCACTGCCGCCCGTGCCACCCCCACACTCACCATTTGTGCATCGCCGCCCAGCTCCGCGTTGCCGGCGAGCTTTGCACCACCGGCGAGCACACCGGTGACCTCCACGTGCCGACGAGCCTCTTTTGGCCAAAACAGCAAGGTGATGTTTGTGCTAAAAGAGCATGTTGCAAACGTATGTTTCAAATGTTTCAGCTATTTTTATGTAAGTTGCAAGTGTTTAATCTGAGGGTTGCACATGTTACAATGGGGCCCACTTGTCACAGCCACATGTTGTAGCTGTTGCGTGACATCCGACGGTGTGGGCCCGCTGCTGGGGCGTTGCCGAGCAGGCGTAGATGGGCACGTAAAAAACCGAGCGTAAACGTGAGGGCCCACGTGGTAGAGCGCGCTAAAAACAGTAGAGCGCGCTAAAAACAGTTGCTGCGAGCTCCTTCTCTGACGCGCGCGACAGCGTCCGACAACTATGATCCCAGAGTAGAGTAGGAATTCCCGTGTTCCAGGACGTGCAAGTAAAAATTCCGACATGACAATAACTGACATCTCTGATCTCCCTCTGAGAGTATTGAAAACCTATAATCTTTTAAACAACAAATTGGAAACGTGGTACTACCCCAGTCCTAATATGTCTACTTTTGGTTTTGTCTTAAATAAAACTATTTTAGTTTAATCAAATTTGTAGGAAAAAATATTTAAAATCTATTACACCAAATATGTACACTGCCAAAATTTATTTGATCATCAATCTAATAATACTTTGTGGTGTCTAGATGGTGTTTTCTCCTATAAGTTTGGTCGAAATGAATATAATTTGACTTAAAAACAAGTCTAGAGCAGCTATCTTACGAAAAGGAGGAAGTATTAAAGCTGAATGAATGTGTGAGATTTCAACTTCTGGTAGAGAGACTATGTGACCTAGATGCACGCATTCAACAAGTTTATGCACATTCAACAAATCTATATGATATTGAAACAAATCTAGAATAGCTATATTATGAAACGGAGGAAGTATTAAAGCTGAATGAATGTGTGAGCTTTCAACTTCAAGCAGAGAGAGTATGTGACCTAGACGCCCGCATTCACCAAGTTCATACGTCCATCACATTTCTTAACTTGTTGGGCCAAAATGATATAGTCATAAAAATTGCGGTATGGAGGGTGTGCAATTTACTCTAAAAGTTACTAGGAGCAGTTGTCCATCATAAGATAGATGTATGCACCTATACTCACCGTGTGCTCAGAGTGAGTATTACAGTGCCTAGTCAGCTAGCTGAGAGTCTGTCCAAGCCACAGAAATCCGATGTGGCAGAAAGAGAAAAGAAGAGAGAATTGGACGGACGCGTACTCTTTGCTGAGCTAAAACACAATAAACGAGGAAAAGGGCTCATCTAGCTTGATGCGGGCACGGGACTAGTGCTTCATCGTCCGCCCACCTCGCTCTTATCCCGTGCGCCGGTTGCACCGCGATGGGCAACTGTCCACCAACGTCCTGTTCGCTTGCTCGAATATGATGGTGGATTATAAGTTAGAATAGTATTTTTCTCTCATATCAAACCAGCCAGCAGTAAATAATCCACGATCGTTTACGACCTGTCAAACAGGCTGCAAATCTTCTAGTGCCGCTTAACATATCGTGTCCAAATTGAGTCCCTACTCTAAATCTAAGTCACCAGACCAAATCGAAGGATGAATATAGTCCCAGATCCATGCCCAACGCCGGCAATCCCTTTCACGTATGGATCCGGTGCCTTGTTTCAAGTTTCCACCACCAATGTACCCCTGCAGTCTATGGCGGGCTCCTCGCGTCCTCCGCAGCATGGTAGCTCGCCAGCTCGGAAGGCAACAACCATTGAGGACTCCAACCAAACGTGGTAGGTATGCTGCCTTCTTACCCAATGCACACGAGCCGCTTCAGATATGAGCACACAACCTCTTCTTCCTTGGTTCTTCTTTCTCGGGTCTTCTTCTTCCTCACCAGCCTCGCCCCAGCCCACTGCCCAAGCCACAGGCGACCTCACCGCCCGATGCCCACCCCCTCCGCTCCATCCCCGTCCTTCCCTAATCCCAATCGAAGAGTTCGCCGGTGACTCCACGCCCCTGCCTCCGACTCTGTTTGATGACCGGCAATCCATCACGGGGTACCCAGGACGGTGTTCGAAGGACTTCGGCGTACGCAGAACTTACGGTAAACACAAAGAGACGAACGATTTATACTGGTTCGAGCCCTCTTGTCGAGTAATAGCCTTTACGTACAGTCGACGTGTAGTCTTTTGCGTTAGATTGATTGTATGATTGTTAGGGTTACAAGGGGGTGCACCATACCTCTCCTTATATAGGGAAGATGGTAAGGACACGTATCTAGTCCTAGTCAGTTACAAGAGAAGAGTCCTAGTTCTATTACAGAATCTAGCTTTCATAGTAAGCCGACTAAGTCTATCTGCAATAGCTTGAAGTCCATATCACCTTGTCTCGCGTCGTTCAACAAATCGTGGGCCATCCTAGGGCCCATCCAAGTAATACCCCCGTGGGGAACCCCTAGGACCCTGGTCCGTCAAGCCCCCAAGCGTGTCAAGGTTTAACTCGGAAGCCTTCTTGTTCCTACTGATCTTGCCGAGTAGAAACAAGCGTAGTCCGAGTGCTTTCGTGAGTGAAGCCATGAGGTGCTCTGTAAAGCCTCCAGGTGACATGCAATTTTCAGAAAAGTGCACTCACTGAGTGTAGCCCCCGAGCCTCTTGCTGTTTGCAAAACAAAGAGTTAGAGGGTCTAAAAGAAAAAACATCCGTAGATGATATGTACCCTGCAGGCCCGAGCCTGTGTTCGAGTACTTGTACTCGAGACAAGGATCTGAAAAGAATATACTCGAGGATGAGGGTGTCAGCGAAAATTATTGCCCTGTCTGCTTGTACATAAGCATGTAAGACATGTCGAAGTCACATGCAAAGCTTTAGTACAGTTGGTCTAAAGTTGCTCAGGATATTCGGGGGAATATGCCATCAAAGGTGCTATCGGGTGTACTGTGACTTCACATGCGTTGAGAAAAGGTCGTCTGTACACTGAAAAAGGTGCAGTGGGACGCACTGCACCCTTATAGAGTAGCATGAGAGCCTATGTAGAAGTCAGTAGCTTGTCCGTGTATTCCGCGTGAATCCGGTCCATAGACCACACCAAGACGCCTATAAAAACCCTCCTGGCGAGCACTTGAACCTCAATTGTAGAAGAAGCAAAGTGACTCAGAGTTTGAAGCTTGTAAATATGATGGTGAGCGAAGTTGACCAGCCCCTGGGAGTACTCGGTTGGTATAACCAAGAGCTGTAGTGATTAGAAGAACTCTTGTGAGAGGATTTAGAGGTAGGCTAAACCCATAGTTGTGAATAGTAGAGTAGCCTGGAGCTACAACTATAAGAAGTCTTATGACGGCTGGTAGGGTGGCACATCCAGCAGTCCCATATCAGTTCTTCTAGGGTGCTTGTCGACGTCTATCCATGAAGGGTTGTAAGTACGGATGGCGTCGGCTGGGTGGCAAGATGTGCGAGTAGCTCATCCTTCATACCAGCCAGCAGGCTTCCTCTCACAGTAACTATGCTCCCAAGGGTAGTTGGCCAACAAATATTTATAGTCGGACAGTCTACCCTAGGTTCTAGGCTAGGACACATTACACTTCTGTTATCTACCTAGATGCATTACTCTTCTCCTTTTGGATCCAGGTGCATCGGGTATGAAAGTACCTACTGAGAAGCACTTAGAGTATGAGTACTATGTTTTATCCGAGTAGGTGTTGTCTTTGTTATTGACTGAAAAAATCTTGTATCCGATACTTGTATCTCTCTAAATAAATAGTCGCTCATTATTCTGAGTGGTCTTGAATCTTGTAAAGTGTGCAACTTTATGTCTATTGAACTGTTGTTGAATAAAAAATATTTATCCGAGTACTGCAATGTTTAGTGCATACTATCAAGCGATTGTCCGAGTACTGCATCAATCATCTGAGTACTTCACGATGTGGCCATGTAGATAACGGTCGTAGCGTGGTAGGTACCCGAAAGGAGTGAATCTAAAGGATAAGTCTGAACACATTGTGATGCGTTGGAAATCCTGAAAAGACATGCAACCGTCGTATCAACCGCGTAGCCGCATTAAAATGGAAGGGAAACCGAAACGCCGTGCCCGTTGGCGTGATTATCGGGCCACAACACGGTGAAAACCCTATAAAAAGGGAACCATTCATGTGCATCATCTTCCTCTGTTCCATTTGCTTTCTGCCTAAGCCCCTGAGCCACTGTGAGCGCTGCCAATCTCGCAACTTGAAACCCTAGATCTGTAAAAAGCTCTGCTTGATGGGTAAGGGCAAGAATTCAAGCGCCGCCGCCAAGAAAATCGCCGAGAAGAGGGCGTTGGAGCTGCCGGAGACGACCACCGCTGCTCAGATCTAGCCAGCACCGTTCACAAAGCCGAAGCATATCTTGAAGCTCCATGAACAGGGCTATCTGCCGGAGCAGAAACTTAGGGGATGGAAGGCGCCTGGAGAGCACCGTATTCCCAATCTTGAGCCGGGTGAGATTGTTCTTTTTGTGCCGTTCATCTAGCATGGGTTAGGTGTAACATCCTCAGTGTTACATTGTACAGTTTTTGCTAAAACACTGCATGAGCACCATACTTGTGTGTAAATATGTGTAATATAGGGTATAAATCAATGTACGTCACTTGAAACGTT